ATATATATATATATATATATATATATATATATATATATATATATATATATAGACTCAAATATATTTTCACGTCGTGCGCAATTACGAGAGCATAATTTTTGAGCGAGAAAATAAAGTGTTTCATTTTCCCTACAATATGTTTGAATGTTACACAAAAAACTAAAAGAAAAGGTAAAAGAAAAACCGCGAAATAAAAAGATACAATTAGAATGAAGACAATCCCATGCATTCTGATCATATTCGTTATAATTCTCTTTCTTCTTAAGCTTCAGTCCGTGAAAATATGCTTCGTCCAGATATCCCTACGTTCAAGAATCTAAAGTCTAGATGTTTGCTCAAAACCTGAGAAAACATAACAATCGATATAGAACTCGGAATAATTCGACCAAAGATCCCAGCCGTCGCCGAGTTTCATCGATCATCACACGTGCATTCACCTCCTTCGCGCGATCTTTCTATTGCAATATCGCCGTTTTGATGTAAAACGAGAGAAATATGGAAAAAAAAAAGAGAGAGAAAAATGACTGGACCCCGCGCTCGGAGAATACATCTCTTCTCCCGGTTCCCCGGTTTCCTGGCGCGCCTCGTGCTGGATGAGAACTCGCAAACACGTCGGACGAGAACTTCCCTTGTACATTTCATCACGAACGACGCGTCTGTCCGACATTTGGCCGTTTTACATTTACGCGATAAACGTATTTTTGTACTTTCTCCTTATTATTAAATTGGACGCAGGTGCGTAACGCGCCGCACCTACGCGCTCGTGCGTATAAAAATATATAGGATCTCATATTACATATTACGACTATTAATTGACGCTTACGAATTACTACCGTGATTTCTCGTTTAGCGGACGAGAGAAACGTTGTTTCTAGATCGGTTATAGAGCGCGCGGGGACGATCCGACAAAAAGAAGAGAACGGAAAAGAAAAGAAGAAAAAAGCAGAAGAAGCGGGAAGAAGAGTTTCAAAAAAAGAAAAAAAATCCGTAAGAATAAAAATAAAAAAAAGGTGTGTTTACATCGCCGATTTTTTATAAGCACCATCGGTGTCGACGAATAAGATTTTGTCATAAGATTGTGAATATTACATACGTTAGTTACTGACAAATAAATGTTACACGATGCAGTTTGTGTAAGAATATCCCTCGTGTTCTTACAAGCGAGTTCTCTCTCTCTCTCTCTCTCTCTCTCTCTCTCTCTCTCTCTCTCTCTCTTTCTTTGTGTTTCTTTCTCTATCGCTTTCCTTCGATTTTGTTTCAAAACTTTGATAAGATATTCATTTATCATATTAAATGTTTCTCTTCTAATCTTCTTTTCATTGCAAAATATTTGACATATACTTCATACCATCTTATAACTAATGAGACGCCTAATTACGTGTAATCATGGTCTTGTTACGTTACGATTTTCTCCGTGCGTTGACTTAAATTTACTGTCACATACAGATTTCAGTTTACGGTCAACACTTGACGCAACGCTTAAAGCGTTACGGACAGTCTTGTGTGCGAAGCTTCATATGCATTATATCTCATACGGATATTTGTGTTTGCGGTCACACAAGTCTGCGGTTTGTCTAGGAGAAAAAAAAGGCACGTATTCGATATTAACATCTGTGCAGTGATTATCATTATGCCACCGCCTCGGATTGTCGCGATCGTCGTCGATCAATCCTCCTATTTGTTGCGATGAAAACAAACGAACGTTGCAACGAACGAATTTCTCTCAGGAGTGCACGAGACTCTGCGAGTCTTTAGGGGTGAGCAATGTAAACGCACGTGTCCCTCTGATTTTATATTGCGCTTTCTCCTCACAGTCAGGTTACGTCCACGTTACGTTGCACGATAACGGTAAGTCGAAGAGAGCGTCGTAGGAGCTAGCTTATCGAGACGTTTACGTTTCATACAGAATCAAATGCAGCGTAACGGCAAATACACTTACCTCCCCCGCATAATAATTTCCCCCGGGAGTTCGACGCGCTTCCGTCCGGGAAACGGTCCAACTCGTAGTCATGTTTATATATTTAGAGTATACCCTGAAGAAACTCGAATAATACAAAGTGTGTATTCTCTTCCTATGGAGGGAGGCGCAGATCGAATTTGCAATTTAAACGCTTTCCACCGCGGAATTGGAGAAGCTAGGAAAAGCGACGCGCGTCGAGCTCCGCGAAAACGGAAGATCCGTGCGGCGTGTCTTTCACGTTTTCCGTACACACAAGTGCCGTTTTCTTATTTTTCTTTTTTTATTTCTCTCGCTCTCTCTTTCTCTGTCTCTCTTCTTTTCTTTCCTCTCTCTCTCTCTCTCTCTCTTTCGCTCTCTCTCGCTTACTCCCGCTTGTTCATAAACATAAACGTTAATTCGCCGCTTCCTCTCGCCCCCGCCCGCCCATAACCGTTCCCCTCCTTGCTGACCGTTGATTGACCCAGAAAATTCGCGATACACCTCGCATCGCGCGCGCCTTTCTCCACGACTGACGATAGGTCTGCTTGCAGGGGAGTCGACATATTTGTGACTGTTGAGACTTGACTGATGGTGGGGCCGATCACAGCTAAAACACTCTTCACTGACGATCAACCGCCTCTCTGACGCGCAACGACGCATCGCTCAAATGATCGGATCGGTCGGTCGGTCGGCCGGCCAGTTGATCGATCGATCGGCCGTACGAACGATCCACGATCACTTGCGAATGATAAATGAAAAGAAAGAAAAGAGGAAACAAAAAAGGAAAGGACAACCACCATCGCATCCCCCATACGCATGCATTATTACTGTTACATCCACCTGCCTCCCCGGTCCCTCTTCCCCTCCCCCCAAACGTTGCCGTTGCCGACTTCTTCTCGGTACACGCACATACAGACAGAGTTACACGCGCATACACGCTGATGCTTCGCGCGAATAGGAATTCTGCGTTACGTCGTAATTATTTAGAGTTAATTAATTAATTTATAATACGCCACGCGTCGCTTGGCGCAATCGTGGTGACACACACACACACACACACACACACACACACACACACACACACACACACA